TCCGTCACCACTCGCCAGGACGTTTACATTCCCTAACTGAATACCGAGCCCCCAGCATTTCCACATCAGGGTATGATGTGTGAAACAGGGGGGTGTATCTTCGCCCGTGGCAGCTACCCTGCGAAACCCTGCCTTCCCCGGTATTTCGGGGCACCCTCATCCAGTCACCCTAGTCAACTTCTCAGTGGATCGCTCAGGTTCCGCACCCACCACCAGCATCCAACGGAATCTGCCGGGTCGACAGCGGCCCAACTCCGTTCCTGGTCGGCTCGCAGGTTAACTTTATCCCAGGTCACCACCGTCCATCAACTAGGGGCGCAATGCCTTCCACCATCGGAAGGACTTTGACCCTAACGGGTATCGATCCCGGGATCTCCCGGGGGCAATGGTCGCGCCTTACCAGTGGTGCCAAACCCTCTAGTATGTATTTCCTTGCACACTCACACTTCTGGGAGGTCCAGCCCCAGCCAGCGCCCCCTCGCCACCCAAATGCGGCGATCCGGCGCTGACGGTATTGCCTGATGTCCATTCGCCAGCCCTAGACAGCGACTCCTCACCAGGCAAACTAGTGTGCAACCCTCGTCAGTATCGGACCCATCATCGGAATCCCTGGCATTGTGCCGCCGGCCGACATTAAACTCATAAAGGCGGACATTGGGGACGTACACAACACGATACTGTCCTCCAGTCCCATATTCGGCCAGGATCCCTCAGATGCTTACTGTTGTAAGCTACAAACGCAACCTGCCTCGAGAAAACTGATCCCTTGCTAGACCCACCGGGCCCAGTCTTGCTGCAATAGAAGCAAATCACCTCTTTGAGAGGAACGCCAGAACTGCTGCTGGCCGCGCCACGGTTCCCAAGACCAGATCCAGAGGCGCCAAACGGAGAACTGCCGACAGAAGCAAAAGCTGCCGACTCGGTAGGCTGGCTTACCAGAGCCACCGCTTGCCATCTCGATAGTCAAGAACTTCGAGGTGACGATAGCCATGTCCGAATCGCCGTCACGCACCAGTAGGGATGCCGTTACCATGCTGAAGCGGCTGGGCAAACCAACAAGCTATTGAAGAATTGGCGACGGTGACGGCTAACGCTGATTGTTATTCCGGAAGGATTGCCGGTGGCGAAGATATTTAGCACGATAAACTTGTTACAAGTAATGTAAAGAGTATTGTTAGCGTTCGGCAGGACTTGAGGAGATTCCTGGTAGGAATACCGATCGTTGTGAGATAAACTAATAGGCGCAGTCACCGCCCTAAATACCGGCGCTAGCGGAAAACTCGTACATTCCGCGATCTAACTGCACGTACATTCCGCGATCTCACTGCGCCGTCCAGACGGTGCCCTAATGTCTATCACTTAGCTACCGGATATGCATCGGTAGCCCCATAAGGTTCTGGGGTAAGTCTTCCCCATTAGTCAGGCGCAGACCCGGGGTCAAATCCCCTGGTCGACAACCACACGAGTTGGGAGAGGACCGTTTCCTCAACACGCCCCCTCGGGCCGTATCCCAACGAGTACCAAGTTAATCTGCACACTTCACACTAGGCCCATAGCATCTCGGCAACGTTTGAACTTCACCTCGCCCAGAGCCTTTGTTAGTACATCCGCAACCATCCACTCCGTAGGGCAGTATTCCAACTGCACCTCACCGCTATTCACCCTCTCACGCACTATGTGATGCTGCACGTCGATGTGCTTCGACCGAGCAGACGTAATCGGGTTGTTTC